ACCGAATTTAATGAGTCTGTTGTCCCATTATGTCTTGGTTCTTAAAAATGAACACGTTCTCTTGTCATGTGTAATGAATAACCGAAACTATTTTCGTCAAACATTCCTACAAAGAGCTCTCATTTTTCCCAAATTAGATACCTAGAGAATGCTTCTACTAAATATGGAGACATATGAATCACGTACAAATAAGAAAAATAATATAAATATTATACAGCAATTCATTATTGTCTTAAAATAGCAGCACCAATACCTTTGGGGGAAATGTTAATGTCTTACTAAACAATTATCGGATTCCGTTACATATATTGATCGTTTCATGGCACCACAAAGCAAATATCTATAGCCCACTTTGCATTAGAATGGGTGCCAGTCATACACAGACAATAGTGGTCCAAATTTTTTATTGTATTGATTGAAAAATGACCTGCATTGTGCCGTAATAACCGTGGGAGGGGGGGGGGGTGCAAACAGCTGTCTATTAATCATATGCAGCTTACCGTCATTAAAGAAATCCGACCGCTTTGAAATAACAGGATACAAGAACAGATGACAAAAAACCCCACCTAAATATATCCTTTAAAAAAGACAAAACTTAAGTGAGCGTAAGCAATTCACTAAAGCTGGAGGAAATATTCTATCTATTGCTTTTTATTCGTATTCCAAAATCCCAGATACGGAGAGTGTCTATGAGTGAGAGAGAGAGAGAGAGAGAGAGAGAGAGAGAGAGAGAGAGAGAGAGAGAGAGAGAGAGAGAGAGAGAGAGAGATTAAAATATATGGTGCCTAATGCAAATCGTTGAAATCTTACGTAACCGGAGAAGGGTTTTAATCACGGTGTTGTCAATGTGGAACTCGTATGTCCATTCTAAAAAGACAGCTCTCAACTTTTAATTTTTGTTTTGTTTAATTTATAAGTGGTTGTTGTTTTTTGTTTGTTGGGTTTTATTTTTGGGTCGTATTTTTCTCTCTTCATTCTATTGACGATTTAAAATCAAGTTGTAAGCTATGGATCAAACCGCTCGTCCTATAATGTAAAGACATTGAGAAACGGGATCTCTAAACTGAAGGTCCCTCACTGATATTACAGATAGAATTGAGTTAAGAGCCTTAAAAACCCCAACACAATAACTGAATAAAACCAAGTTATTGATTTGTTAAAAATAACTAAATGGTGACCCTTGGCAGCTTTAAAGAAGGGGAATACGTAAATATAGAAAACTCAAGTTCATTTACACTAAAGTCTCACGAGATATCATAACCAGTTGAATTACCCAAAGGACCTTGTATCGAGATGATAAATATTTTACTCCGCCATTGACACAATTTGCAGAAGCTCAAGATAAGGAAGAAAGACGAAGGACACATAGGAAAAGAGAAAGAAGAAACAAAGAAAGAAACATTCGTAGTCTGTGAAGCGAACTCATCTTATAAATAAATAAATAAATACAT